TTATTTTTATTTTTATTAGAAAATATATTATTGATTTATTAAAATGGTTATTAAAATAAAAATATATTTAATGAAAATATTTGTGTTTATGAAGTGAGAAATAGAATGGTGTGTTTATTTATTGTTATTTTATTATTTCTCCTTGTGGTAGTAAAATTTCTGATAAAAGAAGTGATGGGAGTTGATGATTCTTTGTACCAAGGGTAAGGATTGGTTTGTATTTTTCAACTTTGTACTTTTGTTTATGACCTTTCTTTTTATTTTGTTATGAAATTATCATAGTAAAAAATAATTTAAGTTTGAAAAGATCATAAGAATTGATAATGTCAAAAATTTTTTTGAATTTTTTTTGAATTTAAATATTCAAAGATTAATTATTATTATTATAATTATTTATTTCTGAAGTTTTTGTTGCAATGATTTAACTGCAAATATATCTTCTTTTGAAGAATAAATTTCAATATTGTGAGTATCATGAATATTGTGAGCATGTAATTTATTAATGACAACCATCTTTTAATTCTTTTTTTTATTATTACAAAAATTCGTTCAAGATGATTCCTGGACATTTTTATAATTTTTCTATTTTATTTTAAATAATTAATTAATAATTAACTAATAATACTAGGCACAATACACAATACATAATACAATAATATGAACTTATTATACTGACTTCATAAACTATACAATGTTTTAATTTAGAAATCTGATAAATTAAATAATAATAACAATAATAATACCATTCAGTAAGTATTATTATTATTATGAAATTTATTAGGAGAAGTCATGGTGGAACTAGAGGAGATTGGTATGAAACAACAGGTTGTAAATTAATAGTGAACTTTTCTTAAATATCCTTTAAAAAATTTTATTTTTGTGAAAAGATAAACACATGATGATATGTTTCATTTAGGTGGTCTAAAACGTGTTAGAGAATACAGGTGAGGTAAATTTGAAGATAAATGCGATTCTAAAGTAATCATTGAACCACCTTAAACATGAATATAATTAATTATTTTTTTAACGAAATCTCATTCTTATTTTTCTTTATTTCCACATAGCAAATGTATACAGTTAGTTAATCGTAATATAAGAATTCCAACCCAATATAAATCCTTTTTCGGTGAAGTCACATCGAAGTCACGGCACGAGACGCTTTCATCCAATTGGTGAATACTGGATACACGTGTCGATTATTGATCGTCACTCATTATTGGAGTAATTAAAGTATTGTCGATTTTTTTTTTAAAAAAAAATAATTATTATCACGAATTTTCAATCTTTCGTGTACATGCATATCCCAAAGTGGTTACTCTAAAAAATAATGGCTAGTTTGGTTATTACATTATTAGCTAAACTAAACCTAAGTCTGTAATTGATCCAGCCGCGATACTTTATAATAAATATATTTTCCTTTCCATCAAAAATTTTTATTAAAAATTTATTTAAGCTATGTCATATCATTCCATAACTATGATAAAGCTTTGAGCAGAAGGATTTTTAGAAATTTCATAAAATTTAGTAATGTAAAAACACGTATCAACAATCATTATTAACTTGAAATATAATAAAAAATAATTTAATTACATTATCTAATAAATAACATTTTGCAACAATAAAATTTTATAATTTATCGTCTATCTCTTTAAAGAATTCAAACATATTATATCTAAAAATTTTTATTTCTTTCAAAACAACTTTTTCATATACAAAAACATATATCCAATTCTATTTTAAAAATTCTAATAATATTTCATACGATTTTTTAAAATCAGCGGAATATACAATATATATCAACCATCTGCTATGTGATTGATATCTTTAAAGATAAGTATCCGTCGGAGGAATGACCAGCTAGGCAACTCTTTATTTTTTTCGTTCAAATCAAAGGCAGAAAACAAACAAGTAGTACTTCTAATTGTGTTAATTTATCTATGAGCTATTCAACATGATTCCATTGATTCTGCAGCTTAATGGTAACAAACATATAATATTGTGGTTTGACAACCTTTAATTTTTGATACTAGTTTCCACAATATTATCCTTATATTCCTAATGGAGAAAATATTAAGATATTCTATGTCAAAGAATTAAATGTTCAAATTTACCACAAAGAAACAGATATGTTACATAAAAGTAAATAAATTCATAGATATTGAGAAACCATGAACCTTGAGTTAATCCAATAAATAAATTAAATGCAATAAATAAGTATATACCTTATTTTATTGGTTAATGTCTATTTTCTTTATTTCTAATTAAAAACAAAAGAAATCAATGACTTACCTTTAAATGCTTATCTTCACTTTTATTAATATTTTTTCTATTTATGAATTAGTAAATTCCTTCTTCCTTATTTTATCATAAGTATATTGAGTTGAAAATTTTTTGATACCTAATTGCATAAAAATTACTAAAAATTTATTTATTGATGATAAAAAAATAAAAAAAAAATACAATAATAACTGACAGCAGTAATAACAAATTTTACAAGTCCTTCACGCTTTCTTTGAAATAGTTAGATAAGGTGTAATTCATGCAATATTAATATGGAAATAATGACTTTATTTATGAAAAAATACAAAAATTGACTAATGCAATAAAATGATAAAATAATAATAAACAAAAAATTATAATAACACAGCAAATCTTTCCAAGTGCGCCCTTGAAACCATAGTAAAAGAAATACAGGCGTGCATTTAAAGAGTTCGTGAACATATAGAGAGCAAAATATATAGAGCTCTTATAAAAGTCATGCCGTGCATTAGAGAGAGTTAATAAAGTGTGTGCATTTATAGAAGGTACATTTAAAGAGGTTCTCTGGATTAATATTAAAATTTTAGCATCATAAGTATTGATACTTAAAATAACTAGTTCATCAGGCTTTGATCTATTAATTTAAAATTTAGTAATTGCTTAAAATAATATAATCAAAATCATGATAAAAATATTACCGTAAGATTTTTCTGATTTTCTATCTTCAAGTATTAATACATCGACTAATAACATGATTGTGGGTGAGATATTCGTGACGATAGAGATGGTTCTTGTTGTCGAGATTTGATTACTTTTTCTTTATTTTCATCCGTAATATAATTCTAGAACCGGTCATTTAGAAGGGTCATCATTGCCACTGTTCATCAAGTCTAAATAACATTATGATATCCGATTTAACTTAATATCTTGTATCCTTATTCTTATACTGATTACATATATCGATCATTAAATGGTCATTATTAAGTGCTTTCTTTGTTTTCCAGTTGCAATTCATACATAATTCCACAAAATACTTAGGTGGAATATATGAAATTGCCCATAAATATTTTTTACTTTTTCAATATTAAAACTGCATAAATATGTACACTTGGCAGGTTACAATATATTCTAGTTCTATGTCAAAAATAAGTACTTCAAGTTTTTTATAAAATAAATTTGTTATAAAATAATTCATAGATAAGTTGAAAATTTACTTTTCTTAGAGAGAAACGTATATACTGTATTTGTCTTTACGCACTCATCCTTTTCTTCATACACCTTATAAAGAAAATGAAAATAAAAAACACAACACAAAAACTTACTTTGAAAAGCAACACACCTAACTTTAAGTGTTGCTCTCTTATTTACAAACAAAAAATAAGTTTCGTGAATTTATGGTGAATATTTACTATATAAGATAGCAATTGGTCTTGATTACTTATATGTAAAAAACTTAATTCATCGTGACCTACATTGTTAGGCAATTATTCTTGTTTTGCATCAATTATAGACTTAAGTTTATGTAGGCTAGAAATGATTTAATATTAAAATCTGATAACAAAGTATTAATATTTATGGATCAATCCCACCTGAAGTTTTACGAGGAAATGATTCATAAAAAAGGGAGATATTTATAGTTTTGGTCATTTTTAAAGATTAATCTATTTCTATTATGTTTTGTTAATTTATCGAGACTATTAAATCCTTATAAAAAAAAACGGGTAAACCATATTTATTACTTGATTTATTTTTAAAATTCTATTTTAAACTTAAATTCCTAAATTTAGAGTGCGTTATTTATTTGAAGGGTTAACTTCAGTTGTCATAAATTTATACGCCTCTAAACAATATTTATATATGCATATATATATTAATATTAAATAAATATTCTTTTCTGATTTTCAATATTAAACCAATTCCTATTAAATATTATATACCATTGGAATGTGCATATGAAAAATTTTAAAATGTTGAATAAGATTTCTTTAATAAATGAAATTGCCATGAAACACATGATAAAAACATATTTTAAAAATTGACTTTTACAATAAAGATAAATTATTTAAACAAAAATAATAATATTAACATTTGATTATTTTATATATTTAAATAATTTATAAGAATAGTATATAAATAAAATAAAATAAATAAAACTAATTTAATCTTTTATTTCTTAGATAAATATTATCCTCTTTATCTAAATTGATGCATTCTTGGGGATCACAATCTAAAGTTGAGATATCAGAGAATGGGTCTTTTTTTTTGCTCGATTTTGAATTTCTTTTTCCCAATCAATGCATTCTTGTTGTTCTTTAGAATCAATATCATAAGTACTAACACTTGAAGCAGTTGATTCATTAGACTTTAATAAATTAGGATCTATAAATTTAAAATTTAATAATTATTTATTTATTTATTAAAATTAGATAATTAATATTTTGATAAAGATTACCTTGAAATTTTCCAGATTTTATATCTTCTAATGAATTATGCAATCCATGAAGAGTATGAATATTTCGGCTAATATAACAAGATTGTGGATGAGATATACTTGACAATAGAGATGATTCATGTTTTTGAGATTTGATTGCTTTTTCTTGATTTTCAGCTGCAATCTTAAATTGTTCTATTTCATTATTATGTAATTTGACATTTAAATATATTGGCAGTTGGTCGTTCAGAAGGATTATTACTCCAACATTTATGCATTAAGTCTAAATACAATTTTGGAATCCAATCCAACATAATATCAGGAATTTTTGGTCTTACTCCTTTACAACATATATCAATTATTAAACGGGTATCATGTGCTCGATCATAAAATGGCTGTTTCCCAGTTGCCATTTCATACATAATTCCACCAAAACTATAAATATCTCCCTTTTTTGTGAATTCATTTCCTCGTAAAACTTCAGGTGGAATATATGGAATTGATCCATAAATATTATTACTTTTGTTATCAGATTTTAAATCATCAGCTAACCTACATAAACCTAAATCTGTAATCGATGCATCCCATGAATTTGTATAATTTCTTATCAAAATATTTCCACTATGTAGGTCATTATGAACTAAGTTTTTATCATGCAAGGTATAAAGACCACATGCTATATTATCTAGTAAATATATTTTTGATTTCCACTTTAAATTCAAAAACCTTTTTGTTATAAATTTGTGTAAACTATCGTCATATAATTTCATAACAATAATGTAGTTTTGGTTAGAGGGATTTTTTGAAATTCCAATACATTTTATAATGAAATATAACCCATTCGCAATAATTAGATTCTTAACCTAAAATATAATAAAAAAAAATTTAATTTAATCGTGTAAAATATTTTTAATAATAAAAGTTTTATAATCTAAATAATTACATACTTCTTTAAGAAGTTTAGATATATCATGTCTAGAATCTTTTGTTTCTTTCAAAGCAACTTTACTATCGACATAAGAATAATCCCAATCCTGTTTATTAAAATCCCAATCTTTTTTAATGCCATTTTTTAATATAGCAGAATACACAGATCCATATCCACCATCTGCTATATGCTCGATATCTCGAAAGTTTTCATAAGGTATCCATTTTAATTTTAACTCATATTCATATCCTTGATGATTTATTTGGGATTCTTGGATAACCTTATCAATTTCAACGTTTCCACTAGACCAAGTTCCGAACTCTCGACTAAAATGTTCTTTTGTACATGAATTACACTTGCCATAATTATTATAAAAGATGCTAAAGTAATATTTATAATTGAGAGAATGATTAGTTGAACAATAAATTATTTCCTTTTCTTGAGACATGGAAAATGAAGAAATATGCGTTATTGAATATTCTTTTTGTGGCAGAAAAATGAGTTGTATTTGCTATGGTGTGTTTAACCTATAAGCCACAATAGATTTGTATGATTTTAGAATGTTATACTGTAACTCTTTTCTAAAAAAGGAATAAAAAAAAATAAACTGATAAAAATAATCTACAGATCTTAAGCTTCAATTTAACTTTTTATTTTATATTAAAAATTATTTTATAACAATTAAAAAGATATGGATGTGAAAAAATTGTAATTATTTATGGTCTGACTTGTGAAATAATTAAATTATAACTCTAATGTAAGTATAGTAGTTGTTTTCTTTTGTTTTGTTTTTTTTATTTAGAAATTATGATTTAGATTTATGGCTTCTCTCTCTAAGGTTAAATCGATATTTTAAAAAAGGCTATTTATGAATGAATTATTTTGACATATTATTTGCTTGAAATTTGAGAACAATCTTGCGGAAGTTAACACCATCAAAAAGGTAAATTTTGACAATATTTTTTTCTATAAAGAAATTCTAGGAATTATTTGGGATCAATGTTATCATTTCTTCATCAGGAAATTTTATTAGGCGCAAATTTTCAACACCTGCGCAAATTTGCGCAAATTTGCGCAAATTTTTATCTATATTTTTTCCGTTTTTTCAAATTTGCTCGTGATTTGCGAGGTACAGAGCGATTTTTTACTAAGATATTTCTAATATAGAAAAAAAAGGCCTTGTTTTTGGCTACAGAATGATATGTTCTCATTCCGGTAGCATTAACATTCGCGGAGATATTCGTATTTAAAGTGCGAAAATTTGTGGAATTTGCGCAAATATTGTGAAAAATTGTGCGAAATTTTGCGGAAATTTTCAAGGTGAAAATTTCCGCAAATTTTCGCACGATCTTTTCACGGACGTCCGACTTAAAATACGAATATCTCCGCGAATATTGATGCTATCGGAATGAAACGCATATCATTCTGTAGCCAAGCCAAGAACAAGGACATTTTTTTCTATATTAGAAATATCTTAGTAAAAATCGCTCTGTACCTCGCAAATCGCGAGAAAATTTGAAAAAAAGGAAAAAATATAGATAAAAATTTGCGCCTAATAAAATTTCCTGATGCGTAAATATCGGAATTTCGAAGTAACACATAATAACAGATAAAGTAATACAATCAACTCGTACATTTATAGAAGGAATGCATTTATAGAAGGTAATTTTGCAAGAATTATTAGTGGATGAGAGGGTGCATTTAAAGTGATACTCTCCGTAATAATTTGAATAAAAAATATTCAATAAGCATATTTCTTCAATTCCTATGCCTCAAGAAAAGGAAAGTGTGCATTGTCCAGCTGGTCATTCTTACGATAATATTAATAAGCGCATCAATACTGTATATTGTAAGTTGTGTACTATAGAACATTTTATTCGAGACTTTGGAGCTTGGTCTAGTGAAAATGTTGAAATTAATAAAGTTATCCAAGAATATCAAAAAAATAATGAATATGGCGTATACAATCTACAATGGATACCATATGACAACTTTTGAGATATCAAGCACATAGCAGATGGATCTGTGTATTCTGCTATATCAAAAAATGGCATTAAATAGTATTGGAATTTAAATAAACAGAAGAAATATTATATCTAAATTTCTTATTGAGGTATTTTTCTTTTATTTAGATTATAAATTATAATAAACTTTTTATTTAAAATATTTTACATAATATTGTATATATTTCACAATTATTTTGTTTTTTATTATATTTCAGGTTAAGAATCTAATAATTATGAATGATTGGTATTACGTTATAAAATGTATTGGAATTACAAAAAATCCTTCCACTCAAAATCATATTATTGTTATGGAATTATACGATGATAGTTTGCATAAATTTTTAACGAAAAGTTTCGTGAATTTAAAGTAGAAATCAAAAATTGTTTACTACGTGAGATAGTGACTGGGCTTTATAGCTTATATGAAAAAAATTTAGTTCATCATGACCTATATAGTGGAAACATTTTGATAAGAAATGGTACATATTTTTATGATGCAGCAATTACAGACTTAGGTTTATGCAGGTTAGCTAATAATTTAATATTAAAATCTGATAACAAAAGTAATAATATTTATGGATCAATTCCATATATTCCACCCGAAATTTTACAAGGAAATGAATTCACAAATAAAGGAGATATTTATAGTTTTGGTGGAATTATGTATGAAATGGCAACTGGGAAACAACCATTTTATGATCGAGCACATGATACCCATTTAATAATTGATATATGTAATGGTATAAGACCAAAAGTTCCTGATATTATGTTAAATTGGATACCACAATGCTATTCCGATTTGATGTATAAATGTTGGAATGGTGACCCTTCCGAACGACCAATTACCAAATGATTACGTGATGCATTATGGAATTTGATGTTTGAATGAAATAGAAGATGATATTTTTTAACAATTTAAGATTGCAGATGAAAATCAAGAAAAAACAATCAAATCTCAAAAACATGAATTATTTTCATCTTCAAGCGAGTCTCATCTACAATCTTGCTATATTAGCCGAAGTATTTATACTCTTCATGGATTACATAATTCATTAGAAGATGTAAAATCGGGAAAGTCTCAAGGTAAGGTTTTATCAAGATTTTAATCATTTTATTTTAATAAATAATTAATTACTAAATTTTACATTTATAAATCCAAATTTATTAATACCAACTACTTCAAATGTTAGTACTTAGGATATTGGTTCTAAAGAATCACAAGAATGCATTGATTGGGAAAAAGAAATTCAGAATCATACAAAAAAAGACCATTCTCCGATATCTCAACTTTAGATTGTAATTCTCGAGAATCCAAAGAATGCATTAATTTGGACAATGAAGATAATATTACATTTAAGAAAATGAAAAAAGATTAGATATTAGATTTTCACTTATTTTATATACGATTCTTATATATTATAATTTATCTTTATTGTAAGGGTTAATTTTTAAAAATATATTTTTATTATGGTTTCGTGGGAATTTCATTTGTTATTATTAATAAACTTATCTAACATTTTAAAATTTTTCATATGCACATATTAAGACGTAAACTTGACATTTTCTTTTTGAATAGTTGACGATGTCACTCCGCGAAAACATATCTTTAAAATTATCTAAATAAAACCATGGTTTCCACTATATCTCACATGTGTATAACTAAAAATTTGTTACCAATTATTCCAATTACTATTCTATTTTATATGAACAATTTTCAACAACTCAATTATATTTACGTTAAAATAGGGTAAAAAAAAAGATTATATTGATATTTTTTTTTGAATTAATAAATAAGTGAAGAGTAGCATTTAGAGGTAAGAGTTCTTGGGTAAGTAGAGTAGTTGTTTGCTTTTGTTTTTATTTTTTTTATTTAGAAATCAAGAAATAGATTCGATTTATTTATTTTGATTTGTGGTTCCTCTCTAAGGTTAATATTTGTGTTCATTTTCATGTAAATTGAATTATTTTGTGACCTGTTCTGTTATTATTGATTGGTTAATATTTTTTTTTATTTGCTTGAAATTTGTAAACGGAAGTTAAAATCATCAAAAAAGGTAAATTTTGGCAACATTAATATATGGTTTTTTCTAATTTGTGATCAATGATATCTTAGTAACGCGCACATAATAACAAATAAAGTAATTTAGCAAATACTCTATAAATGCACCCCCTGGGTACCGGAATTAACGTGCATTTATAGAGGGAATTCATTTATAGAAAGTAATTTTATTAGAATTATTAAAGGATGAGACTGAAACATAGTGTTCTTTTAAAGTGACAGCACAACTTATTTTCTGCCAATAATTTGAATAAAAAATATTCAATAACTCATATTTCTTCAATTCCCACGCCTTAAGAAAAGGAAAAAAATGAATTGCCCAGTCAGCCATTCTTACAATATTTACAATCATATTGACAAATCTACTGGAATTTGTTATTTGTGTACTAAAGAACATTTTATTCAAGAGATTGGAATTTGGTCTAGTGGGAATTCTGAAATTGATAAGGTTATCCAAGAATCTCAAAAAAATAATCAATATAAATTACATTGGATACCTTATGACAACTTTCGAGATATCAAACACATAGCTGATGGTGGATATGGATCTGTATATTCTGCTATATCAAAAAAAGGCATTAAACGGTATTGGAATTTTAATAAACAGGATTGGGAATATTCTTATGTAAATAAAAAAATTGCTTTGAAAGAAATAAATGATTCTAGAAATGATATATCTAAATTTCTTAAAGAGGTATTTTTTTTTTAATTATATTATAAATTATTATAAACTTTTATTATTGAAAATATTTTACATTATTATATATACAGTATATATTGCACAATTAAATTAATTTATTTTTAATATATTTCAGGTTAAGAATCTAAGGATTATGAATGATTGGGAATACGTTACAAAATGTATTGGAGTTACAAAAAATACCTCTAGCCAAAACTACATTATTGTTATGCAATTACATGATGATAGCTTACATAAATTTATAACAAAAAGTTTCGGGAATTTAAGATGGAAATCAAAAATGGGTTTACTAACGAGAATAGTATCTGGTCTTTTGTGGTTACGTTTTGAAGGCTTAGTTCATCGCGACCTACATAGTGGAAATATTTTGATAAGAAATTACACAAATTCATGGGATGCATCGATTACAGACTTAGGGTTATGCAGTTTGGAAAATGATTTAATACTAAAATCAGATAACAAAAGTAATAATATTTATGGATCAATTCCATATATTCCACCCGAAGTTTTACAAGGAAATGAATTCACAAAAAAGGGAGATATTTATAGTTTTGGTGGAATTATGTATGAAATGGCAACTGGGAAACGGCCATTTTATGATCGAGCACATGATACCCATTTAATAATTGATATATGTAATGGTATAAGACCAAAAATTCCTGATATTATGTTAGATTGGATACCACAATGTTATTCCGATTTGATGTATAAATGTTGGAATGGTAATCCTTCTGAACGACCAACTGCTCGAGAATTAAATGGTGCATTATCGAATTTAGTTAAGAAATCAAATAATAATATAGAAGATAATATTTTTCAGGAATTTAAGATTGCAGATGAAAATCAAGAAAAAGCAATCAAATCTCAAAAACATGAATTATTTTCATCTTCAAGCGAGTCTCATCTACAATCTTGCTATATTAGCCGAAGTATTCATACTCTTCATGGATTACATAATTCATTAGAAGATATAAAATCGGGAAAATCTCAAGGTAAGGTTTTATCAAGATTTTAATCATTTTATTTTAATAAATAATTAATTACTAAATTTTACATTTATAGATCCAAATTTATTAATACCAACTACTTCAAATGGTAGTACTTATGATATTGATTCTAAAGAATCACAAGAATGCATTGATTGGGAAAAAGAAATTCAAAATTATACAAAAATAAGACCATACTCTGATATCTCAACTTTAGATTATAATTCTCGAGAATCCAAAGAATGCATTAATTTAGATAACGAAGATAATATTACATTTAAGAAAATAAAAAGATTAGATTAGATTTTCACTTATTTTATTTATTTTATATACGATTCTTATAAACCATTTTTATATTAAAAAAATAAAAAGAAATATAATCAAATATAATCAAATATTAATTTTATTTTTTTTACAATTTTAAGATTTATATCAGGTAGTAAACTTGCTAAAAAAAAAGCGCGATTTTGTATGATTTTCTTTTTTTAATTAATGGTCAACGCGAGAATCCTAATTTTAAAAAAAAATTATCCACGAATAAAGATAACATATCTGTTTATAGGGAAAAAAACTACGTAATCATTTATTGGTTATTCATTTATTGAAATTTTTTAAAGATTTTCATAAATAAAAATCAAATAAATTAAATTCTAGATCCAATCTAGATTACATTTTTTTTTTTTAAAAAAAAAATAGAATTCTATTTTTTATCTATTTTTATTTGTGAAAAAAAAGAAATATTCACAATATTCACATTATTTCAGGTACTTTAATTAAAATATTATCACAGATAATAATATTAAAGTCAGTTAATTACTACAAAAAAAAAAATCAAAATTGATAAATCTTTACTTATTTATTTACTTATTTATTTATTTATTTATTTTTTATTATTTAATTAATTATTTTCTTTATTTATATTTATTTATTTATATTTATTTATTTATGTATTTGTTGATATTTATTATTTTATGAATGAATAAAAAAATTTATTACAATTATTACAGCATGCATCATCATCACATGTTGTTGTTGTCATTAATTAATTAATTAATTAATCAATTATTATAATTCAGGACTTGTATCCCTTCCGTAAGAAAAACTGGTAAACAATGGATCATTTTGATTAAGTAAAATTGGATCAATGGATCCACCACCACTTAATCCTAATTGATGACTTAACATATATAAATCTTCAGGTGATTGATGATAATATTCCGTTCCTACTGTGGGAAGTGGAGGAGACATTATAGTTGATGGTGATGTTGAAGAAGATTGAAGTTGTTGATGATATTGATGTTGTTGTAATGTGTATGGTGATTGTTGATGATGGTGATATGGATATTGATGTTGATGTTGTTGATGATGTAAAGTAAATTTAGAAGATTTAGAAGAAGTTGATGGTGATGGTGATGATGAGTTGATTGTTGGTTGAGGATGTGCATTATAATATTGTGAAGTTGTTGTAATAAAATTAAATTGTTGTTGCGGTTGAGGAGAATTATCAAGAAATGAATTATTGGTAGTAGTAGAATTATTAAGATATTGTTGAGGTTTAATATAATTCATATTAGGTTGAATATATTGAGATTGATCCCCTGAAAATCCAGCAGGTGAAGAAGTAGAATTAAAAGGTGAAGGAGTAGTAGTAGCAGTAGTAAAGTATGGAATTGGTAATGGCAATTGTTGAGTTACAATTGATCTTGAATCTAATTGACTATAAATTGATGAAACTGTTGAAGGTGAAATACTGTTATAATATGAATTCGTCTTTGTTGAATCTTTATTATTATTATTATTATTATTATTATTATTATTATTATTATTATTATTATTATTATTATTATTATTGTGATTATTATTATGATTATTATTATTATGATGATGATGATTATTACTATTATTATTATTATTATTATTATTATTATTATTACTATAAGATGACGATATATTTGATGATATATTTGGTAATGTTTGTGTTGAAATTGTTGACATAGATGATATGGAATTTGGTGAATTGTTATAATAGACTTGTTGTTGATTATTCAAAGGAGATGATGAAGAAGAAGATGAAGATGATGGTTTCATAGATGTAGATGGTGATAATGATAAAGATGATGAAGCAATAGTAGAATTTGTAGAATTATTAGAACTTGAAATATTTTCTTCTTGTTGTTGTTTTTCTCGTGATGACATTATTGTTGATACTGTTTGACCAGAATAAACTTGTGAAGAATTATTTTTATTAAAAGAATTATTATTATTATTATTTTTATTATTATTATTTTTAAAAGAAGGAGAAGAATTATTACTTATTATATGTTTTTGTACTTGATTATTATTATTGTTGTTATTATTTGATCTTTGATAATTTTTTGTAGTTGATGATTTTTTTGGTTGTTTGTTAAAAGTTGGAGTTCGAAAGTTTGTTATTTGACGTGAGGATGATCTTCCTGAATTTGTCGTAGTATTTGTATTATTAATAGTTTTGATTACATAAGGGGTTGTTTGTATTCTCTGTTTATTTCGGTTACTCATTGATGATCGATCATTGTTAGTTTTGGTAATAGATGATGATGATCCGGCTGGTGACGATATTAATCCGAATGGTGACAATGATAATCCGGTTGGTGACGATAATAATATTGCCGGTGAAGTATTATGAATATTTTGAGTGGCGTTATTAAATGTTAAATTATTATTATTATTGTAATTATAATTATTACTATTATTATTATTGTGATAATAATTATTATTGTTATCAACAGAAATTATATCATTGTTGTTATTGGTGTCGTCAAGAATTCCGGTATAGGAGAATTGTTGTTGTATAAATGGGGTTGGTGTAATATTTGGTGCAATATTTGATGGTGTAATAGCCGAAGATGTTCTTGTGGAAGGAGATTGACTAGGAACTACTGGTGGATCAAAAAGATTTGCGATAGTTATAGAATTTATAGAATTTATGGAATTTATGGAATTTATGGAATTTATAGAATTTATAGAATTTAAAGATGTTGTAGATAATAAATTATTCTTTTGTCTTAAGGAATAAGGTGAAATTTGTTCTCGGCGTAAATTTCTATTTGTAGCCATTGTGGTTGTTGCAGTTGTTGCAGTTGTTGCTCTTGTCGTAATTGTTGATATTGTTGTTTCGGTTGTTGAGGTTTTAATGGGTTTTTGTGTTCTATTTGGAGTATATTTATAATTCGGATAATTATATGAATGTAAAGTTTTGGCGACTAAAGCCAAATCCGTCCAAAACTTTTTTTCTCGTTCCCCATAAGAATTCCATCTACTTGATGCAATAATCGATGAATCACAAACTGATAAAGATTGACGAGCTCGACAAAATTCTTTGGATACATCTTTTCGATGTAACATGAATGCATTTTGAGGTCGGGGTGTACCTTTCGCTCTAGTTTGGGTAGAAGGTGTCCATAATTCACGAAGAGTTAAAGTAGTTTTGATATCAGCAAATTCTTTAATAATAGCTTTAACCATAATTTGAACTTCTAAAGTTTCTAGACCAATCAAATTTTCTTGATTACCGATCGAGATTTTATTAGCTTCTCTCACGGATTCTGAAATTGAAATATCTACGCTGGGTTGTTTTGTCGTTTGTTTTGCTTTTGGAGACATAATTTCTGTTTTCTTTTTAATAATAATTATTATTATTATTAATGTTATTATTATTACAAATGTATATGTAATATTAACAATCGAAGCAATTTTTTTCAATTTTAATAATAATAAATGTATCAGAAAATATATTTCTGATGTATACATATAACTTAATGTTTTGATAAATATTTTGTTAATATTTTGACGTTTTCTTCTTTTCGTAAAAAAAGAATCCAAAGTAATCAAAAGTAGTGTATTTTTTTTTTACGTGTATTTTCTTCAAGAAAAAAAATAAACAAATCACAGAAAATAAAGAATCAAGAATACAACAAACAAGAAAATAATACCACCCGATCAAAAAAAAAAGAATTGAATTTATAAGTTTTCTTTTAATGATCTTTATCACAAATTTCATATTATTAAAACTTATGATACATCCAAACAATTACAATTAACAACCCCATGATTATAATTAAAGATAATACCTTACTTAAATTGTTTAATTTAAACAAAAGAAGAGATAGTACGAATCAAAAAAAAAAATCAACAATATAACAACAATAAAGAAACAAATAAAAACGTGAGAGGAATTATTAGAAATTGGTGAATATAGTGAGGGAATATAGTGATGTATGCGTTTAATTAAGTATTGTTTTTTCGATATTTTTAATTTCCAGGCGATTTTACATATATATCATATAATATAATAGTCGTGTGAGCTTGTGTGTCGTGCTTTTAAAAATAACAAAGGTATTTTAAATACTTGTAATAATATTGTTGTAATATTTGAATAACTGAAGTAATGTAATCCTTGAATACAGTACTGTAATCCTGAATGAAGGATCACGCGCGTGATATTGTTAAAAATAATTTAAATACAATATCAAATCATATTATAATAAAAATGTTTAAATATAATCTGATTTATCTCTCTAAATAGAAATATTATCATGCAAATATATTAATAAATTATAATATATTTTTTTTTAATAACAATATTACTAAAAATTGAAAAAAAAACAAACGATCTTGTAATAATAGAGATCTGAATTATTAGATCTTTGTGATTCATTAAAACTTTTTTTTCTCCTTTTCTCCTTTTCTCCTTCGATTTTTTTTAATAAATTAAAATTAAATAAATAAACATGCAATATATGTATATAAAGTATAATAATGATGATGATGATATTTTTTTTACATAATCTCCATAATTTTAATAATAAGAATTCTTTAATTAGTTCTTCAATTGTTTCAGTAATTCATTAATTTAATTTATTTATTGGTTTATCTATGCAATCTGAATCAAGCAAATCAAGTACAAAGAACTTTTTTTTGTACATTTTTTTGAATCTTGTTAGTTATGGCAATGATTTTAGATGAAGATAAAGATTATATTGTTGATGAAGAAATTATTTAATTATATTTTATATATATTTTTGTAATTTTTTTTTTTTTTTAAATCGATTGTATTGTAAATAAATGCGTGTCGTGTGATTTTGAAAATTTTCTTATTTATGCACGCATAAGTATTAATCATCTGAATATTTGATCTTCGAATGTGACATGGAAAATCGTTGCAAATAAACACAACACAAAAACGGCAACAGAACCCATATATATGTTTAAATATATATCTAATTGTAATTGTTAGTATTGGTATTGTTAAAAAGTATATTGAATAAGATTAGCATTTATACTTTAAGTTTTAATTTACTTTAATTTAACTTTTTATATTAATTTTTACACGATCACAAAACTTTATAAAACTTATCATAGATAAATTCAACAATAACAAGTTTTAATAAGTTTAATCATCTTATCCTAAAATTCAAATTATTATTTCATCCGCTCAATCATGTCGATCTAATTTTAATAACAACCATAAATTCGGTTTGTGGATCATCCTTAACTTAAAAATATAACTTAAACATATCTTTTAACATAGTTTATCGAATATTAATTTTTAATCATTTCATTTTATTTTTTGAGCAATTAATTAAATTAACTAATTGATTGAGTTCGTCAAAAAAAAAAAAAAAAGAAACCACTTCGAAATCTTCGTTTGTAAATTTTCTAATACATTACATAAAATATCTATAATAAGACAATTACTATAATTACTATATTTTACTATATGCAATGCAACATTCATAAATTTTTGTTGATTTTCATATATATATATCTATCTATATCTATATATATCTACATCTATATATATATATTTAGTATATGCGCGTGCACAGTAAATAAGATTAAAAAAAAAAAGTAAATAAAAAGTAAATATATATAAGTGATAGAAGATTTAAAAAGTTAGAATTTAAATCTTATAAAAAAGATGGCAATGATTTTAGTAGTTATTATTAATTTTAGTTAATATTTTAGGAAAAATGTGAATATCAATCATTGCGATCATGGGATTTTAAATCAAAATTCAAAATTTCTGGTTATTTGACAATTTTTAATTTTTTCTTTTTCCACACACACACATGAACACATTGTCTTTAAAACTGATAAAATAAAAAATAATTCATAAGATTGAAAATATATTGTTTTTATTGTTTTGAAATATGTATAATTTTTACGCAAGTAATCTTTGGTACAATAATATCTTTGATTCATCAAAATCTCAATGTACAGTTATTCCTTGTTTGGATAATGATAATGATAAAATCTTTCAATCCACTTTCGAACAACAACATTTACAACAACAACAATCTCAACCACCACAACATTTACAACATCAACCTCAACAACAACAACAACAACGATTATCACAACAACCTTCACAACAATCTCAACCACAACAACTATCACGACTATCACAACTATCACAACTATCTCACCTACGTTCACAGCAACTACAATCACCGCAACAACTACAACAATCGAAACAATTACAATCATCGCAACAATTACAATCATCTCAACAATTACAAACATCGCAACAATTACAAGAACAACAGCAACAACAACAACAACAACAACAAATTATACAATATACTAATGATCAAATAAGAGAAATTGTATCAAGAATGGTTCAAGAAGCTCTTCCTAATTTTCCAATCATCATTCCTACTTCAAAAACTATTGAAGAATTAGTAACTTGTATATCTCAACGTTCTAGACCTGGCAAACCTCCTCGTCCTCAAAATAGATTTCTTTTATATCGTAAGAATTTATCAGCGAATTTACATAATCAATTATTAGGTTTAGGTGTGAAAGGAATTTCTTCCCTTGCTGCTCAATTGTGGAACGACGAATCACGTGAAGTCAAAGAATTTTACAATCGGTTGGCTGATTTGGCCAAAAGGATTCACAAGAAAGTATATCCTTATTATAAATTTACTCCCAAAAATGTGAAACGAAAATCTGCAACAAATAATAAGAAAAAGAGTAATGATCCCAAATCATTGAGTCCAAATGTATTGGTCTTTGAAAATAATATGAATAATATTAGTAATAATAATATTAATAGTAATATTAGTAATAATAATATTAATAGTAATATTAATCGTAATGTTGTTGGTGGAGTAGGAGTAAAAGAAAAAGAATTAGAATTATCTGAATCTGAAATATCAAAAGCTTATGAAATATTACAACAACAACAACAACAACAACAACGAATTCCTAAATTTATTCCTTTTCCTCCTTCATCATCATTTCAACAACAATCGTCATCATCATCTTCTTCATCACTTCAATTTAATAATAATAATAATAATAATAATAATAATAATAATAATAATAATAATAATAATAATAATAATAATAGTTATCCTCAATTTGACTCCAACTCCAACTCTACTACCAAATTTGATGACGATAATTATTCTTCCTTTTTTTTATATAATAATAATAATAATAATAACGTTTCATTAGGTCGATTAAATAATCATAATAGACAACCACCACCATTATCAAGTTTGATTTCACCAAATCGTCATCAATTCGAGGAAAATTATTCACTCGAATATCCATCATCATCTTCTTCAATCTCTTATACATTCAACAATAAACCTGTTGCTATTACTGAGCCTACACAACAACAACAATTCTACTTCACTCTTCCGACACCGTTTACTACTAATATTAATAATTACTTTGTCAAAAATCATTAAATATTAAAAATAATCAATATTAGTTGAATATTAAATATTAAATAAAAATTTTAATTTCTAAAACAAAATTAAAGATAATCTGTTCTGTATATCAGTGTACGTAATTGATAAAAAATTTTGTCATGTGAATAGTGGATCGAAAAAAATCAGCTGAATTGTATTGTTACCTGTACGATGCGATGAAATGCATAAAATGATAAATACTCGACTTCTCTTTTTGATAAACTTGTAATAAAGTTTATTTCAACAACAAACACGAACATTTGTTTAAATTTTTTTGCAATTTTGTAATATTTCTTTCTTTGACTTTGTAGGATTAAAAGATAAAAGACGAATAACAATAAAAATTTTTTAAAACTTCACCGCCATTATCTTTCTTATTATTATTATATTTGCCTTGAAATTATTTTTTTAATTCTCTTAATACAAATTGACAAGAAATAAAATATTTATCGTATGAAAGGTTGAGAATTTACTGTTTTCAAAAGTTATTCGAAAGTAAATTTATAAATAAAAGAAATAAAAAAAATAATCCATTATCTATTCATTGAAATCTATCTACTTATCTATCTATCTCACACATTCATTTCCTTTTTTTTTTTTTTTTTAGCAAAAATGAATGCCAATAGTTTTGAAGTTTTGGCTGCCAGAGTCGAAAAAGCCGTAAGTGTATGCTTGGCTGATTCAACCGAACCGATAGATAGCAGGTTAAGAAGAACATTGGTTCCACTTGCATCTAGTCAATCCAAAGAAGTATTTACCTTACGAAAAGCTACACTTGAATATGTTTTCAAGAAGATCGGACTGAAGATATCAGTAAGAAGAAGAAAAAGAGAAAAAAAAAATTTTTTTAAAAGACATTTAATTACGAATCAGAAGTCTTTAACACCAATAATTGAATTTTATTTAGGGACTTCCATCACATGAATTATTACCACAAGCTTTTAAACTTTTAAATTTAATTTTGGATCTAATTGAAATTTTAGGAGAGAATAAGAATGAGAAAGGTGGATTATTATTAATGTATTTTCAACTGTTTAATGTTTGTTTTAATAATATTGTTGTTTAACATTTAATTAAATTAATATAAAGCGATCGATATTATATTAACAAATTTATTGTTAAAAAAAAAAAATAGAACTATGTGAACAATCATTAGCTTTAACTATTTTAGAGGAAATAATGGAAACTCAACCATTAGATGTTTGTGAAGATTTATTTAATTACTTGGAACAAAATAAACAAAGATTACTTGTGGTAAATTTATTATTTTATATTAATATTTCTCGGATCGATCCATTTTTTTTTCTGTTCTAATTTTTTCTTCTTTATTACTTAATTAATTTATTTATTTTATTTATTTATTTTTTTTAAAAAAAAAAAAGGATTTAAAACCAACAGTTGGAAAAGGTCTCATTTTATTAAGAGTATGTAATGAACTTGTTCGTAGGACATCAAAATCAAATAATAATGGATTTCGAGGGCGAATTTTAATATTTTTATCAAATACGTACGCACTTGGAGAAGTTTCAGGTATGCATAATTGAAATTTTTATATATATTTACATGTATTTGGTGGTTTTGTTTAAATTAAAAGAAAAAAAATTTTTTTTTTTTTAGGTGTCAACAAAGGTGGAGAATGCAATGTTGAAAATATCACGACTTTTCATGCAAATCCTGATGGTAATGATTTTGATATTTTATTAGTTGTAAAACATCGAATAATAATTAATTTATATAATTGTTTACATTATTTGTTTATAGATGTAGATGCAGAATTTTATAACAATTTTTGGAGACTTCAAACTTATTTTAGTAACCCACTTAAGATGGGTAAAGATTTTAATCTGGAGCACGTATTAAATGTATGATATTATTTTTTGCTTAAATGTTATGTGAATATTATACCGACACATTACATATCGTCAACTTTCTAATTCAATTCTATTTATTATTTATATCAATAGAATATTAGTTTAGTCGTGAATCGTTTCCAAGACATTATTTTGCAAGAAAAGATAAAGGAAGCGGAAGAACATCTTGGCGAATCAAAAACTTCAAAAAACAATAAGAATAATAGAAATGGTGAGACTAATAAGGACATCACCTCGAGAGATAAAAAGCGTAAAGCATCAACCCAGGATGATGACCCGGAGGAGACATTAAATTTTGCCAAAGATTACGTTAAATATTTTCCCAAATATTTAACTAGTCACGCTCTTTTCAATAAAGAGGTATTGTAACTACTCATTTTTACAACATATTATCCATAAATTAAAAAAAAAAAATTTAAAATTATTAAAAATAATTTATTTAATATTTTACAGATCTCAGATCGAAATTTCCGAAGAACAGTTCTTGTACAAATACTTATAATATTACAATACCTTACTGGATTATTCCCTGATGAACAAGCTCGTATAGCGAAGGCAAAGAAACCTGCTGATAGTAATCCTGTACAATTACCCGTATACGCAATATCAGAAGCTCAGGTACATATTTTATATATAAATAGTATTATAATATTTTGAGAAATATATTTATTAATAGTGTTGCATTGTTTGTTGAATATCAACTTCATTTTGAATTCTGATTTTTTTTTTCAGCAAACGATAATAATGGATTTATGGGAAAAAATTTTCCATCAAATTGAAGAAATCACACCTAATGGTACACGTTTCGCTGGAGCAATTCGTCATATCCTTGCCATGGAGAAACGTTGGAATTTTTGGAAATATGCTAATAATTGTGCTTTTGATAAAATTACCGAACCCCGAAGAAAGGAATTAAAAGAGAAATATGATCAAGGAATGAGAAAGAAAGCCAAACTTATTGAACCTTTGGAACCAATTAAATTCAAAATGGGTTCGGAAAAATTAACCACCATGTGGGAAAAGAATAAAAATGTCAATGGGTTATCAATTCTTGCTGATAAATCTCGTCCAAGATCCACTCCCGAATTTCATAAAATATATGAGAAGATTAAAGCTGATAATTATCCAGTAAGCACTTACTTAAAAAAAGTATCAGAAGAAAAATTTTTGATGTAATGATTAAATTATTAATTAAATCATTCAATTATTTAATAATAATAATAAATATAGCCGCCACAGGGATTAATTTTTGATCCAGCAGAAAGCGTTGAGGAGAAAGAAATTAAAGATAAAGGCTGGGTAAATTATTATTTAATATATGTGTGTGTATAAATTTTAAACGAATATCAATTTAATTTTTAATATATATATATACATATAATATAGGTTAACAGATGGTATGCTTTGAGAATAGCACGAGAAGATTATCTTCTCCATTTTAATAAACCAGCCGTCAAGAAAGAAGCAAAGGCAAAGGTTGCAAAAGAACCGGAAGAAAAGAAAGATGATGTTGATTATATCAAAATGATGATTGATGAAAATCCAACATGTACTAGTGTCACTAAAAAGCAGCAAACTGAAAGTGATACTACCACTACCACCGCCGCCACCACCACCGCTGCAACCGCTGCAACCGCAACCCCGACCCCAACCCCAACCACCTCGACCATCTCAAGCACTCCCACAACAAGCACAGTTGCAGAACAGAAAGATCAAAGTGAAAACGATCAAAACGATCAAAACGATCAAAATGATCAAAATGATCAAAATGAACAGAAAGATCAAAATCAGCAGCAGTGATTGTTTATTTTATTTTTTCTTCTGCGACGAAAAAAATTATATTTTGAACAAAAAAAAAAAAAAGTATTTTCTTATTGTATTATATGCTGTTTAATATTTCCAAAATATTGCTAATAATTTTTATATTTTTATTATTATTAGTTTTTAAATTTAGTTTTAATTTTACATAAAATTCTACAGTACAAGTATAGTATAAATATGATGATAATAATATATAGATCAATCACAAAATTTTAGAACATTACATCCGTCAATTTAAAATTTTTATAATGTTATTACAAAAAAACAAGAATTCATATAAAATCTTGTGAAAATTCAAAATTCATTTATCGAGATAATGAACTAGTGATTAAAGTTATGATGTAACAAATTTTTCGAAAATATATAAAATGATAAAACTCGTCACTTTTCTTTTGCTTAAAACTTGAGAGCCATTCGTTATTTATTCGTTACCTAAATAAATTTCTTGTGATTATCAGCACTCCGCGTACTCCTATCCACCCCCGCATCCGCCCCGCATGCATCCGAACCTACCGGATTCGTCCACGACACTTTTGCAAATCCATTAGATAATAATTTTACCAATATTCTTTTTTTGGTAAATTCCCGGTAAAGTGATACAGTGATGCAATGTGTGTGAAACATAGATCAAAGAATTATATATATAGTATAGTGGCATTGGCTTGAACTATTTATCCATTCATTGTTATACTATCTTTTTGGTGAATTCGCGTTGTGAAGTACAGTACTAATAAGGTCAATTGAGAATGGAAATGGAATACTAATACAGGAGGATACAATTCTTCGGACAATATATATTTTTTTCCTTCTTTCTTCTTTACCTTTTATATTTTTTTAATTGACTTTACGTCGTGGTTATCAAAAGTTTCATATTAATATGATCCCAACTTAGAAATTTGAAGCAATAAAGATTCTTAATTCCAGAGTCAGTTACTGTAAAAAATAATTATTTCTTGCGAATTGTTCTGTGAATATATTCACCATCCTTTTGGATCAACCAAGAGTGCCACTCAATAAATTTCGCAACAATTTCACATGATTCGCCCAACAATGGATCAAGTAATATGAGTTAACAAATGAGATATTTTTACATTAATGACAAGTTATCTTAAAATCGGAACCGTCATTTGGATCAAGAACCCATGATCGTTCAATTCTTTTCGCCTAAATATTTTCAAATTTAGGATCAATATGACTGCCGTTTTTTTTTTGTCCAAATATCATGCTGATAAATAGAATTGATAGGAATTTTGCATTCTATTTAAGTAAAAAGAATTGAATCATAAATTCGTCACATATCTTCATAGTATCGAATCGGCGAGAATGCCAAATAATAGCAAAGCATCTATTTTTTTTTAAAAAGTCGTCACGAAAGTTTTTATTTTAGTATCTAATATTTTGTTCACCTACAGGAGACATAGTTTCTCAATATTTTTGACTACTCAACAAATTTAACCGTTTCAGTAACATTCTTGCGCACGTATCAAATATCTCGCATCAATCTGTTTACCCGCTTGTTCTAATGCTTTGAATTTAGTTAAAAGCGTTAAATATGTGTATACACAGCATTTCTTGGTCAAGTTATCAATTCAAGAAGTTTTTTATTTTTTTATTTTTTTAGTCAGTCACGTTAATTCGATATTTATTCGATAAAAATGAAGTTATTCCTGAATAACTAAAAATACCAATCAATAATAATTTTATGGCTTATGAATATGTATATTATAAAGGAATTTTATAATAATGTAAAACGGAAATTGATATGATAAAGGAATAGTTTTATCGCGGTATTTATTTATTTTATTTAAAAGGTTAGTAGAATTTTATTATTATATTGGGATTAACGATGAAAAGGATATTAAAAAGGGCAAGAAATAATGGAAAGATTATTATTAAATAATACAAGTCAAGGTTAACGGGGAAATTATTTCTTTTTCTGATCATTTGAAAGGCTTTTCAAATGCAAGGTGGTCATTTGTGCCACTGGAGAACATGACTATCCAAAGTGGACAACAATGATTGGTTTCAATTGCTCAAGCCTTTCTCCATTATCGCATATTTCTAAAATTTTTACATATATTTTTTTGGACATATCTTTATAAAGTTCCACAGTCTTGACATTCAAACTGAGCATAACATTACACTTGGAACATGTCTAACGTGTCTAAAAAAAATAAATAATTTGATAAATAACGATTTCTTACAACGTGAACTCTGCAAATCAATATTTTTTTTTTTTAGTAAAATTTAATTACTCTTTTATCATCCCTTTTTTTCATTTACAATGATCTGGGTCAGGTCCAATGAGTTATTTTCCTGCTAGATCTGTTATATTCCAATAATCAACTCCTTTTATACATCTTAATTCTTTGTACAAAGAGATATCATACTTGCACCAATACCATACCATCAGTCTCTATGTATAATTACTATAATATTTATTTGTTTTAAAGACTTTGTTACGAAATTCATGTGCATAGTCTTCAAATGTTGTTTTGTTAACACACCAGATATTACTATTGGAGATTTGACATATATTATTAAGAACATTGGTATGTGTAATTTTTTACTCTATCTTATTATACTGTAAATAATTTCAAATTAATAACGTGCCTCCGTAGTCAAAATTTTTCTGCATTAATATAATATATCACCACCATGATTGTCACCACTAGGCAAAATTAATCCATCATTACAACTCAAGTTATAAGTTATGCAAGTCATCTTGAAGTAAAGATTAAAAATGAATTAGTTCCATATATATAAAAAATATATATTTTTTTTTTTTGGGTTTCATATTAATAATGAAATCAACACCATTAATGGTGAAATACAAACGTCCAATTATTATGAAAACAAAAGATATTATAACAATAATACCAAAGTTAGTATTGTCATATTAACCATATTTAGTGTGGTACCAAATTTTTAAATAAATAAAATTCTTGTATATTTGAGTTAATGAAAATTCCATGTGCTGTGCATTTACGGAATTTCCGTGATAAAACAATTTAGCCTAATTATTTATCCGTCAAATAACTTTTTCCTTCCCCGCAGTGATGTCAATATGAGTAAATTCAAATTGATAATAGTAATTAATAATGATTTTATTTTTTGGCTTTTGGCTTTTGGCAAATATTAGAACAATAGACTAATTTTAATTTTATAATTGACTGCGGTAATTAATGAAGTATTTTTAGTCATCCGATTGTATTCTAATTTAGAGTATTATATAATATGTATACAATATGTATACAATATATTATGTCATCGATTAAAATGAATTCTATTTTATTAAATTAAAATGATTATTCCATTAAAAGATTTAACAGATGTACATTTTTTGAATTAATGATCAACAAATATATAAATATATAAATAAGTAAATGGAATGGAATAACGTTCTCTCCTTGAGGGAAATATCATCATCGGCAGAATTTAACTTTTATTTTGCCATTCTTATCATCCGTAGGCTATAAAAGAAAACTAAATTTTGAAAGAACAAATATTTTTTTTTTTAATTAAAAAAAAATTTTATTAAGAAAAACAACAAAAAAAAAATATTTATAGAGTAAAAAAGAGAAAAAAAAAAAAAAAAAAAAAAATAATAATAATATAAATTTTAACCAACACTACGATAAAATTAAACGAATTAAAGAAACAAAAAATTAAACCCACACTTCTTTTTACCATTTTAAATAATTTAAATAATTTTAAATATGGATGATCAGGGATCCTCTCCTGTAAATATAGATGATGTTAATTTGGATCCTTCCTACCAAAAAATTTTAGAATCTCAAGTTCACACTGAAAATTATAAAGCTTCCTATCTTAAATTATATACTTTCGCTACCAAGAAGGATTGGCTTATTATGTTTATTGGCTTAATATTTTCTGGCTTGACTGGTGTTACAACGGTACAATGATTACACTCTTTGATTGGGATTTTCATCAATCATTGACAAATTAAAAATTCATTTATTTATTACTATTTTTAGCCCTTATTAACAGTCCTTTTTGGAAAAATGATTGATTACTTTACTCAACACTCATCACAAAAAATCAATTCGGTGGAATTCACTTCGGAGGTTAATTCTACTACTTTAAAATTCGTATACCTCGGTATCACCACTTTTTTCGCAACTTATTTTTATATGGCTGCCTGGGTTTACACTGGTGAAAGGTATTAATCAATTATTATAAAATTTCCATTTTATTTTTGGGTATTGATAAAGCTCACTGGTGATGATCGTCACCGCAGGACAAAAATTACATAATTCCCTGATCAACCCTAACCCTAACTTACCCGCGTAAATTTAATTTTATCCAGTGGTGACGATCACCACCGATGAGCTTTAGCAATTTTTCTTTATTTTTTCTAAATTATCCAAAAATACCACGTGTCAATATTGCCAAATTAGGATTGCGAGACAAATTCGTGAAAGATATTTACGTGCAATTCTTCGTCAAAATATTGCTTATTTTGATAAAATTGGTGCCGGTGAAATTACCACTCGTATTACCTCAGACACTCATTTGGTTCAAGATGGCATCAGTGAAAAATTCGCCATGGCTTTCCAAGTGAGTAGTTTTTTTTTCGTAATTATTCACGAAAAAAAATTTCACATTTCACTAATTGTTTTTTTTCACGTAATTTCTAGTACTTTGTCCAATTCATTGCCAGCTTTTTTATTGCTTTCTTTAAAAGTTGGAAAATGACACTCGTGATTTGTTGTCTCATTCCATTAGTTGTTATTACTAGTGGTGTCATAAATAAATTATCTTCACTCTATTCGAAACGAACATCGGATTTTTATTCACAATCTGGTTCAATTGCTGAAGAAGCATTTAGTACTATTAGAACTGTGGCAGCATTTGGTGCCCAAAAGAAATTATCTAAATTATATGATTATCATCTAAAGGATGCCAAAGCTGAAGGAAAGAAGAAGTCTATAGTAAATGGTTCTGGGGTCGGTTTCATTTTTTTCTTTGTTTATTGTACTTATTCATTAGCATTTTGGTATGGTTCAACTTTGATTATTGATGGTGAATTGACTCCTGGGGGGGTTGTCAATGTATTCTTTGCTGTAATAATCGGTGCCCTTTCCCTTGGAAATATTGCTCCTGATATACAATCTTTCAGTTTTGCTACCGGAGCTAGTTCAAAAATTTTCGAAGCGATACACCGCGTTCCATCAATTGATACTGAATCTGAAGAGGGTGAAAAAGTCGAATTAAAAGGTCACATTCAACTTAAAAATATTTCTTTCATCTACCCATCTCGACCTACAGTTCAAACTTTGAATAATGTTACTTTGGATATTGAACCTGGTTCAACTGTTGCTCTTGTTGGTTCATCCGGTTCCGGAAAAAGTACTATCGTATCACTCATTCTTCGATTCTATGATCCCGTGGCTGGGGAAGTTCAACTTGATGGTTATGATATCAAATCTCTCAATCTCAAATCATTAAGAAGACAAATAAGTCTTGTTAGCCAAGAACCTGTTCTTTTCAACACTACAATTGCTGAAAATGTTTCTCATGGTTTAATAGGATCTAAATATGAAAATCTATCAAAAGATAAGAAATGGGAATTAATTGAAAATGCATGTAAAATGGCAAATGCTCATGATTTCATAATGAAACTTCCTGAAAAATATGAAACAATGGTCGGTGAACGTGGATTTTTACTGTCAGGAGGACAAAAACAACGTATTGCTATTGCTCGTGCCATTATAAAAGATCCAATGATTTTATTGTTGGATGAAGCGACAAGTGCTTTAGATACGCAAAGTGAAGGTATTGTACAAGACGCTTTAGATAAGGCATCTAAAAACAGAACGTAAGTTTCTCTTTAATATTCTTAATATTTATTTTGCTGTATATCTTACAATTATTATACACAATATTCTTATAATATTTATATATATTTACATAATCTTTATACAATTTTATAATATTTTATAGTACAATTGTCATAGCTCATAGATTATCTACTATACGTAATGCAACAAAGATTATTGTAATGAATCAAGGTTCCATTATGGAAATCGGTAATCATGGAGAACTTATGGAAAAAAAGGGTGCATACTACAACTTAGTTGAAGCACAACAAATTCAATCTGTGAAAGAATCTAAACATTCTTCAATGACACCACCGGAAGATAGAGATATTTTGTTAAAACAAGACATAATACCGGAAGAAGATCAAAAATTAGGTCGTATCGTTACCAACTTATCTGTGTCATCAGCAATTTTGTCCAAACGAAAAGCAGATCTTGAAGCTGGAATTAAACATGATTATGAATATACTACTTGGGAATTAATTAAAAAGGTTGGAAAAATCAATCGACCAGAGATTCCATTGATAATTCTTGGCTATATTGCCGCAATTGTTTGTGGTAGTGTATATCCAACATTTGCCATCATATTTTCACATATTATAGAATCTCTTTCTAAACCCCCGGATCAAATAAAACACGATGCCACCTTCTGGGCCCTTATGTTTCTGGTAATCGCAGTTGTCATTTTAATTGGTCAAACTATACAAGGTGTAGCTTTTGGTTATTCTGGTGAAAATCTTACGGAACGAATTCGATCTTTATCTTTTACATCTTTATTGCGACAAGATATAGAATTTTTTGATGAAGAACGAAATAGTGTTGGTATATTGACTAGTTCTTTATCATTGGATGCCACTCGTGTAAATGGTTTGGCTGGTATTACTTTTGGTACTATTTTACAAGTAGTCACTACTGTTATTATGGGATTTATTATCGGACTTGCCGTAGGATGGAAACTTACATTAGCTTGTGCTGTTTGTATTCCTCTATTGATTGGCTCTGGTGCTATTCGTATGAAGATGTTGAATGGATTTCAAGAAAAAACCAAAAGAGCATATGAAGAATCTGCCCAAATTGCATGCGAAGGTGCCGGAAACATTAGAACAGTGGCTTCTCTTACCCGTGAAAAAGATTTATGGAATATATATCATCGTCTACTTGATGAACCAATGAAACAAGGACATAATAATGCTTTTTATGCATCAGTTTCTTTTGCATTTGCACAATCTGTTATCTTTTTAGCAAATGGTCTAGGATTCTGGTATGGTTCTCGATTATTCAGAGATGGAGAATATTCTATAAATAAGATGTTTACAGTCTTTTTTGCTATAATCTTTGGTTCGATGTCTGCTGGTCGCGCATTTCAATTTATACCTGACATCATGAAAGCAAAACAATCCGCAGCATCCATCATTTCATTAATTGAACGAAATCCAATGATAGATACCTGGTCAAAGTCTGGAAAAAAACTTGAAAACGTTCAGGGACTTATTGAATTTAAAGATGTTCACTTTCGTTATCCCACTCGCCCTCACATACAAGTTCTTCAAGGATTAGATTTAAAAGTCAAACCTGGACAGTTTGCAGCATTAGTCGGACCATCAGGATGTGGTAAAAGTACCACTATTGGACTTACAGAAAGATTTTATCAAGTAACAAGTGGAAGCGTTACTATTGATGGAATAGATATTTCAACCATTAATATAAATAATCTTCGAGAAAATATTGCACTTGTTAGTCAAGAACCTTCCTTGTTTGATATGACCATTAAAGAAAATATTATATTTGGATGCCGACCTGAACAAAACCCAACCCAAGAAGATATTGAACGGGTATGCCGGGAAGCCAACATTTATGATTTCATTTCACAATTACCGGAGGGTTTTGATACTCAAGTAGGAGGAAAAGGAACACAACTTTCGGGGGGACAAAAACAGAGAATTGCTATTGCACGTGCATTGATAAGAAATCCTAAAATTTTATTACTTGATGAGGCTACATCTGCCTTAGATTCCCAATCAGAAAAGGTTGTGCAAGACGCATTAGACCAAGCATCTAAAGGAAGAACAACAATTTCTATCGCACATAGATTATCAACTATTCAAAACGCAGATATAATTTTTGTAATAAAAGATGGTAAAGTAAGAGAACAAGGAACACATCAAGAACTATTAGCACAAAATGGAATTTATTATTTAATGGTTCAAGAACAAGATTTGGGAACAAAAATATAATTTTCATTTTTTTTTTTAGATTTTTTTATTTAATTTAATTTGTATCTTTAACATGTATAGATCCCCCAAAAACAATCAATTGCATGATGTACATTTAATTACTTTAGTTTTTTAAAAATCGTCTTAATAAATTCGCCTTTTATCGTAATCTTTCTTTGAGTAAATTCAATAAATTCTTTTGTAATGCCTTAAGTACAGTACTTGTAGGCTTTAATTATTTCTAAATCAGTTTTATCGGAAAATATAATTTTTTTATTTTTAATTTATAATATATATAAGATTTTATTTTATACAGTCAACCCTCGATACAACGAATCTAGTGTCTGGGCCAATTAGGCCTTCGTTATAAAAAAAATTCGTTAATGGTACAACGAAAATTTATAAAAATCTGGCATAACGTACACCAACCTGCCAAAAGTATCCGGGCAACTGTTTTTTTATCAAATTTATCAATAAACTTCAAGGACAAATTGTGACACAAGAAATTATTTAAATTGCGTAAACTTTTTTTTAAAAAGATCCCCTGATCAATGGCTATCATATGATATCTTTTCTATCAAAATTGGATGCTTGCTCGGAAAGAAATCTTGTCTTAAATAAAGTTATCAAAAATTGCAAATCAAATTGTTAATCGTAATGTCTCGTTTTCAATAACTATCTACCGGAAGTGCAATATATCTTATAAGGACTTATAGCCCTAAACTAAGTCTACAATGTTTATTAGTATCATATTTGCTGTTTTCTAGTTAAGATCAGAACTTTA